ATAAACAATTTCCAGGAATATCAACGAGCTCTGAAACGCAAGAAAGAGAAGAGAATCTGTAGTGGTCAAGAAAATCTGTGCGGCAAGCGATTCGGGAGATGGGACTTTCAAAATCAAGCGTCTGCTGTATTTTGAATATATTGTTATCGGAGAAGTAATATTCCCAAAAATACTCCATGTTCTCACTGAAGATGATCCGGACCGAAGCGTGTGATTTTGTGAGTGATACTTAACGAGATAAGTAGAAGATTTAAATTAACTGTCTTAATTAACCGCCACAATTGGACCTAAGTCTTTTTTTTAATTAAACAGTATTTTTTATCCAACTACATCTGCTGGCCTGAATATTTCAGAAATCAAAAAAAAAAAAAAAAAAAAACTTATACAAAATACTCCAATATGAGTATACATAAAAAAATAATGTTCAAACGAAATAAATTAAAAATAAAAATATGTCGGATTTAATCATTTTCTTAAAATAAATAGCGTTTTTTTTATCTTAGGATACGAAATAGATGTGGATGTTTCGAAAATCGACAGAGAGTGTGGCCGACGCGGTTTAAAGTACGTCGGATCTAATGACGATTCCCAATAGGGGATGCAGGTTCGTATCCTGACGGAGGACGCCTATTCTTCTAACAAGATTTCTCAAATATTTAGGCCTGTAGATGTAGCTGGATAATATATATATATATATATATATATATATATATATATATATATATATATATATATATATAAAAAAGGTACGATAGATAAATTGTCGACATTGTATATTTTAATTTCGCACATGCGCATTATTTGCTTTTGATTTTGTTGACTACACAGTATAGTAAAGTCAGTTGTTGGGCACCGTCACTGAGAAAAAGAGCACCATGACGTCATTCACTCCGCCAGAAATTTGGAAACGGCATGTTGTACTTCTTGGAATTCGCACCAGAAGCTCCAATATGAACATTACAGAGTGATTGGGTGCCAATCTCTTGGACAGGGCAGATGATTGCGAAAAGAGTTGGATGATATATACAGTCAACATCATGATGTTTCGGGGGACCATTAGTGAGGGCGACGTTATGTTTCCATTCATCTTCCTACAGGGTCTCAGACTCAACGCGGAGGCCTACATCAAGTGCCCTGAGGAGGTAGTGCTAACCTGGGTCAAGAGGGTGGCTGCTGGAAAATACTATGTTTGGCAACAGGACTCTGCACCATGCCACACGAAGCAAGAGAACCCAGTGATTTTTGCGGCCACATCACATTTTTTCATCCCTTACATCTGGCGGCCGCCTAACTCCCCAGACTGCAACCCCCTTGATTATTACTTGTGAGACACAGTTGAGCGGGAGACCAACAAAACTCAATGTAACAGTAAAAAATGAACTGAAGGCAAGGATTATGGCAGCATTTACCAACTTAAACAAGGAGACAGCCCAGAAGAGTTGCAGGAGATTCCGAAGTCGTCTGGAGACCGTGGTTGAAGCAAATGGAAAGTCAATGGAAAGGGTAAAAAGTTCGAATTATTAAACGGGGGTGTTTTTAATAAGATTGTGGGGGACCAAAATTTTACCAATAAATAAATAAATAGATAAATCTATAAATAAATAAATAAATATATAAATAAATAATAAAAATAAACCTTCCCCTTTTCTATTACGCCCCTAATTTTATTGAATAAATTTTTCTCTTTAGCATTTTGAAGATATTTTTGTGCGTAATTTTGGTAAACATATCTGTTAAAATAAGACGTCAATGTCATTTTCATTTTCGCGTAATTTAGACGACAATTTATCAATCGCACCGTGTACAAGTTTCCTTAAAGACGACTGACAAATTATTCTTTATTTATCTTGTATTCGTATCAGTAGTTTCTTTTTTCTTATACTTTAATGAAACTTGTATAAAAAAGGGATTGCTGCCCAAATACACAATTATATATATATATATATATATATATATATATATATATATATATATATATATATATATATATATATATGCTATTGATGAATTAAATGTCTACAATAGATATACTTTTCATGGAGTATATTTAGAGAGAAACACAAAAGACTTCGTTTTCGTCCAAATGCTGAGCTGAGTGTGTATGATGTCAGCGAGGATTATTTAGAAAATAAAAGACAATCAAAATAACATTCCACACGTCATAGCTTTTAAAAATATCGCCACAAGAGGTCAGGGCGAAGTGGAATAATGCGAACACCGACCAAGGACGGCGTCCATGGCTTCTCACGTTTGTCAACATCTCTACTTCAACTTGTCGGAATTTTGAAACGAAAATCCACGACTATTTACCTTCCTCGAACAATGGCAGGTTTGACACAAGGAAACAGAAATAGATAATTTGGAAATTTTATTGTTTACTCTTAGAACATTATACGAAACCCAATATGGGGATCGTGGTAACCAATCTGATGAGGGCATCATCACGGGTGGATTAGTGCAATGCTATGTCAGATTTGGATGGTTCCAGCGTACAATTTCGCAGGTGGAGCGCATTTAGAAATACCTTTAGGACAGATAACCCAATACGCCCAGATTAAGAGCGTTTGAAAATATTTTTAAGTGAGAATCCCAAGTTGCCTTGGCTGCCCTATCCTTTAAACTTAGAAAAATAAAACAATCGGCTCGACATCCGACTATGTGGCTTCTCCGCCACTCTGAACGGAGATGCACCTGTGTTAGCGCCTCGGTGACATACCCAACTAGATAAGGTCAATCAACTGATAAGCATATTTACTGTACTGAATGGAATATTTACTGTATCCCATCTTAATTCAGCAAGACAAAACGTACACGATAAAAGTTTTTTTTTTCCATAGGGATGTTCACCTTGTACAAAACCTAAAAGATCACTTATGGAAGAGAGTTACAGAGTAAGAGGAACATTTTATGGGGATATATGGGGAAGATAACAGTTGCCCCTAGACTTGATCAGATTAAGATTGTTGTGATCGGGGAAGCATCCTCTTGGGAGTCGGTTTCTCAAAGCAGCAGTTCGAGGAAAGAAGAAGCTAGTCGAGTGGAACTTACATTTCATCAGCTTAGAACTAGTGAAAACTCGTGAATGTAGTCCGTCTGAACACTTTCCATGGAAACAACGATAGAGCCGCGAGTGACTTGCGATGTTTCGCCTGTGAGAAAGGGATTACATCGAGGGGGAGGATAATTCATCAACCACAAGGACGCGGAGACGTTTTTGAACTCTGTCGAGACTGGGTAGCGCCTGCCCATATATGGCAGCAATTTTCCATTTTCGGTTTCATCTCACTCTTGTAATGGTAGACGATAACATGAAGAGTCAAAGACTTACCGGAACTTTACAGGGTACCGACCATTTTTCTAGCGTCTTTAGCAATCGATCGTATGCATGAGGTCTGCGACTTCGAATCAGTTAAACTCAGAAGTCATGAGAGCCATGACTTGTGGAGCACCAGAGATTTTATTATTATCATTATTATTATTATTATTATTATTATTATTATTTTTTGATTTCTGGCGTTTACACATTTCTTTCGGGTCCCGCCCAGGGACCTAAGGTTAGAAATGGCGTCATGACACTTTCCACTGACAAAAAAAAAAAAATTAAATTACATAGATAAAGCCCTTCGTAAGGTGTGGGCTGTACTTGTCAGAACAATTTTTGTATCTCCTTGAGGCATGGACTTCCAGGAATCCCTTTAAATTAGTCTACTGCAATCTTTTTTCCAAACAGTCCTAGGGCTCCAACTACAACAGGGATTGTTGATGTTTCCATATGCCACATTTTCGAGATTTCTATTTCAAGGTCCTTGTACTTTGACAACTTTTTGAATATCTTCAAAGATACATTGCAGTCAGCAGGGACTGCCATATCAATAAGGAAGCACCGTTTTTGTTTGTGGTCTTTAATAACAATATCTGGGCGGTTGGCCTTGATTGTTCTGTCAGTGTGTATTGTGTAGTCCCATAGAATTGTAACAGGTCCCATCTCCGTAACCGGGTCTGGGTGGTGTTCATACCAGTTTCTTTCAGTTTTCTTCCCGTAGAAGTTGCAGATTTTCCAGCGCAGCATTTGATTTATGGTGTATACACATTTCTTTCCGGGTCCCGACGGGAGACCTAAATCAAAAAGGGCATCATGACAGTTTCCATTGAGCATTTTAAAAAATCGCACATATTTTACATAGCTAAAGCCCTTCGTAGGGCGTGGGAAGTAATTGTGAAAACATTTTCTTTTGTGTTTCTTTAAAGCATTGACTACCAGGAATTCCTTCAGTTGGTCTATTGGAATCTTTTCCAATCAATCCGAAGTTTGGAACTACGACTGAAATTGTTGATGTCCTCACTTGCCACATTTCTGAGATTTCGATTTCAAGGTCTTTGTGTTTTGATAGTTTTTTGAACATCTTCAAAGATACATTGTAGTCTGCAGGGACTGCCATATCAATAAGAAGGAACATTTTGTCTTTGCAGTCATTAACCTTTGTTATATTCATTGCGGGATATCACCTATCCGTCACTGATTAGCTTTGATTGTTCTGTGTGTGCGTATTGCAATAATAATAATAATAATAATAATAATAATAATAATGATTATTATTATTATTATTATTATTATTATTATCCTTTGTCTTTTCTATTTACTCAGTCATCTATTTTTCCATATTTTAAACAATTAAATAATTAAATGAGAGCAGTAAAGTTACATTATGTTTTCACACTGAGTAGTGAGGGAAACAGTTGATTGATTTTTTTACGGCTTTTGCAGTTTATTTAAAGCCAGAAAATATTTTCAGATTGTAAGAATATTTCGGAGATAATAATGATTTACTGATACAAGTCCTGCTAATTAACCCATAGCTGGGGGAGAGGGGGTATATTCATATCTTTTCCAAGGATATTTGCGCGTAAGTGAATATAACTAAGTCTACTGGAATTGGAACTCGGCCCTCCGATTTCCAGTTGCAAGTCGTTATCCATTACACCACTTGCACATCCAAGCTTCCACCACCTGGTATTCCCAAGCGGTCACCTGTTAAGGTACTGACCAAAATCGACGTTGCTTAACTTAGGTGATCGTATGAGAACCGGTGTTTTAACATTATCTGGCCTTAAGCTGCTATATGGGAGGCATGAAACATGCTTGTAAAATGAAGTTTAAATTTCCTGTCTGAGACCGTGTTTTGTTTTGTCCATATTGTGGCACCATGCATCCTGACGATTTGAAAGAAATATTCATAGATATATGGTTTGTTTTTTACGGTTTATCAACCATTTAATAATTATTTAAGGCCGAAAAATATTTTGGGTTTTAAGAATAATTCTTTCTTTACATTCAAGCGATCTAGGAGAAAGAAAGAGAAAACGAAGAAGAAAGAAAGAAAACATAATACGAAAACAGGTCATAGGCGAGCACACACGGGCACGGCTGACAGATAACAGGTGTCGAAAAATATCCTACTTTTCCACGAAAAATGGAAGTTGTTATCAATTGGTTGAAGAAACAAAGTTTAGGGACAATGAAAAATATTGATAAGTAACAAGTGGAAAGTGTGTCATTGGGATGACAGTAGAAGTCTAAGTGGGTGGGGAAGTGTATCTATGGATATGAAAACACAGGCCACACAGGCATTCTCACCGACCGGATTCTCTGCGATAATAGAGATTTTTATTATCAGACCTTCTGGCGGAGGGGAAATGAAATATTTTTATTTCGTTCAAGGAAACGCCTTTCTTAGGTCATGTCCAATTAGCGATAAACTGCTTGACAAATACCACGTGTTAAAAAGCCGAAGGTGTCATCGCAGTCGCTCATGATAAGGGCGATTTAAATTAATATTTTTGTTTTTTTAAGCAAGGTGTTTCTTTCCCCAAAACAAAGACACGGATTGTCCACACCCGACTAAAGACGTCATTGGCGAAATAAGATCACATGACACACGAAGGAGGAAGAAAGATACCCGACCAGGACCTCATTGGCCGAAAGCGGTTACATGACACACGAAGGAGGAGGAAAGATACCCGACCAGGACCTCATTGGCCGAGAGCGGTCACGTGACGCACGAGGAGAATCGGTCGACGCCCTTGTCAGAAGTGGAAGTGTAAGGAGCCGATACGAAGAAGCGGGTATACGCCCCTCAGAGGCACAGTAAGGAAGTGGGAGTGAAAGTGAGTTACCGAAAATGGAAAATCCCTAACCAGAAATAAGAAGGGTGGATACGTATTTAGAATTATCGAAGAATCCCCGACGCCAAACAGAACCACCCCAGTTTTGACGGCGTCAATAAAAAACGAGACCCCAACCAACAGAAATCAGAGCAGCCGCGGACGGCAAACGGATTGGAACCGCGGACGGCGGGCCGGATTCGTTCGCCCCCCCCCTTAGCGGGCAGGAGAGGCCAGCTCGTTTGGCCTAAGTGAAGAAGTTCGTCCGACCCAAGCCGAAGTGAAGAAGTTCGTTTGACCCAAGCCGAAGAGAAGAAGTTAATTCGGGCACTGACGGCGGAGATGAGTGACCAGTAATTCAGACTTTGAAGAGAAGAGTTGGAATCAGAGCAAGCCGGAGAGAAGAAGTCAGATTGAGCCGCAGACCCTGGCGAGAAATTTTGAACCTTGGACGACAAGCAGAGATCAGCGCCCAGTGTTGAAACCGCGTCAAGATAGCTGACCAAGATTCACGCACACTTCTGGACTCTTCTTCAACCAAGAACAAGTAGTTTGAAGAGCGACTTAGAATCAAGACCACAGAAGTAGGTTTTTTCGACTTTCGTCCAAAGACACACCGAAACACAAATTTCTTAGGGAGCAGACAACTTGAAGCCTTAAAGTTGCCTAGTAAAAGCGTCGTGCCACAATCCACAGAACGGGTCGGGAAGTAGACATAGTCCTATGTACCGAGCAAATAGACATAAAAAGTTTGTTACCTTTTTCTTTGATACGTCGGACCTTGTGAGTTTTTATTTTATTTTCTTTTATACATAATTGTGTGTTATCACCCCCATTGGACTTAACTTGCATTACGGCCCCAACCCCTGTTTGATCTCGTCTGTCTAAGATCAATTCACAACGTGGGTAGGCAGACTGGAGATCAGTGCAGTTACCCTGGTAGCCAGGCGTTGGGAGCGGGTTGGGAACGGCGAGGCTGGTATCAATCTAACCAAAGGGTTAGAACGTCACGTTTGGAGCAGCGAGGAGCGAACAGCTGACGCCGCGGCGAAGACGTCACAGTTGGTGCTGTCCGTGACCAGGATATCAGAGCCTGGGGAGCACGTGACGTCACAATTGGCGCCGCGACCGGGATCGAACGACACAGTCGACGCTGCGACCGGGGGACGACGTCACAATATTTCTACTTTTAATATCTCTGACGAATGCATACTTTGTAATTTATAGCAACATATCTCAGAGTTTGAATCGAATGTAATGTCAATAAGGAGCCATATTTAGAGAGAGGATCTGTGGTGCCCACAATATTTACTGGGCTCATCTTAAGTGATGTCAAAGCTGTCTTCACACACGATGTTAAAACTGGAGCATCAAAAGAGGTGCACCAGAAGATTAACCTGGAAGGTTCCGTTATAGCCATCAGGTGCAAAATCGGACCTAAAAGTATGTCATTAGTTGCCCCTGACATATAAATTAGAGGTCAACTCAGCTGAGTTTGTGAGATGTGCACACGCAGGTAATCGGATGAGTGGAATTTATATAATTTATATAAGCGTCCCACTTGAAAAGGCAAAGCTAGCTTATCACATCATTCCAAGAAGAAAATCCACGTTTGAAGAAAGCCCTCAAAGACACACACCGTCACGCCGAGATTAATTGATGAAATCCAGACGTGAATAAAGAATAATTTTATGTATGAAATGTTTTGTTGGGCGTTACAAACGCCTAAGAGATGATTCGTTATAGAAACAAACAAATAAAAACGATAAGAAAAAAAAAGAATTAATTTAATTGCCTGAAAATATTTCTAAAAATATAGGCACTTCTGTCTTATAATATTACGCCTTACTATTTTAATGTTCTCCACTGACGTGAAGTGGAATGATTGTAGCAAATCAGTTACTAGGTCTACTATAAGGGAATTTACTTCACTGTGTCGTGCTAAATAATTTTTCTTACCCGATTTTTTCTCTTGCATCTTTTATCTCTTCCATTCCTCCGTGCATTGCATATTCCTACCGCATCTGGTCTCATGCTTATATTTAAAAATTTCTGACTCAATCCAAAGAAGAATCTGCTATGTTATCGGTCCTGACCTGGCATCTCAGCTTTAATAACTTTTCCAAACCTTCAAGGTAGATTTCATGGCAATGATTTTGATGAGCTTCCCCACTGGTGTCTTAACTTCCCGAATTTCAGCGTAGTACTAGATTAGCATCAAGGTTTCATCAATCTAATATTGAAATTACTAGATGCAACCGTAGGTTCTAATTGAATAGTTTCTTCTCTCGCACTTACTGCCTGTGGTAATCACTTCCGATTTTTTTCTTTTTTTGTCAATTACGATTTTCAAAACTTTAAACGCAATGACAATCGTCATCTTCTGTATCGTTGAATGCTGTTCCTTTGATTAACCTTTCTCCTCAGTAACGATTTCTCACCTTCGTTGACTTTCAGTAACCCCACCCTTGCTTCTTAGTGGCTTTGTTACCTTGATTGGGGTGAAATGATTAAACAAAATTGTATCTCTCTCTTATATTTTTTCTTATTATCTGGTACAGATATGTATTTTAAAGGCCCTGTGTTCGAGATTGGCTAAAAAAAAAATTAAAAAAAAATCTTATGCCAATTTTTTAAGTTGGTGTGTCCTCTCCATTGGAAAGGTGTCCTGGATATGATGATAAACTACATCCGGCAGCAAGGCCTCTGATTAGGAGACTTTTGAGGAGGGTGGAATCGCGTCTTAATAGCTGTTGTTCCCAATTCCCTTCTAACCTGAGGTGGTAACATTTGTTAAGCTTTCCGACTATAGGCAAATAGTTAACCCCTAAACTGGGGCCAAAACTCTATGAAAGGATAAAAATACATTTTTGTAGTAAAAATACCAGCAGTATATTTTTATAGTAAAAAAATTGTCAGCAATAGATTTTTGTAAAAAAAATTACTAATGCTTCCAAGAAAATTAAATTAAATGACCCATGAGGAGTTGATATATCGTTAAACAAACTACAACTACACTTGGATAAATTGGCATAACAACCTTTGTTGGCCCACTGTCCTTCTGCAATAAATGGCTTTTTAAACAATAAATGCGAACCAGTGGCGATTTTTTACTGGCGCAAAAGAACGTTTCTACGAGTTCTCATTTGTTGTCGACGTTTTGATGTTTTTTTCTTTTGTCGGACGAAGAATCTTAATATAAAACGAAACGAACAGAATCTTTTTTTCTGTCTTTATTGCTAGAATGTGAACCGACTTTTAAAGTGAGCCATTCTTTGATGATAACTGTTTACAGAGTTCGCTTTCCTTTCTTCTTTTGATTTATGTGCCATTCCTTAAAAAGGTTTTATTTTCATTATTCGTACGGTGATAACCCGTAGAATAACAGACAAGGTTTTGTCGTAATGAATCACCCCGAGAGAAATTCTGTAACGTATAGTCTAACTAGATTAAAAGCTGCCCTATCAGGCGGCATTCAAATTCGCTCCTTGATTGGGCCATCGGCTTGTTCAGGAGTTTAAGAGTCCCTAAATCTTTGTATATTCTAAGCATTGCAAGCTTTTCCTATCGTTTGATCTGGGTTTTCATTTCCTTTTCCTCTGTGCAGTCTTAGATTTTTTTTATTGAAATCTGGTCGTCATTTTGGCGTAGATTTCTTTTCACGAATCACACCCCAGCTGTATGCAATAGGCAACAATAAACTACAGAAGAACTCAAAAAATGATCACTGCATTTAAGTATAGCATTAATATTTAGGCTTAATTTTTTAAAGTTCAACGATAATTCTTCTGCTACCACTTAATTATGAGAGTTTGATGTGCGTAGGTCCTTACTTTCCGTTCAAACAATTATTTTTATTTCATGGGCGACTTTCGCAGGATTTATCAATTAATTTCGATTATTACCAAATTTATTTCCACGTTATGAAAATTGTT